CAACAACCAAGTCCTTCCTGTTCCGACTGAAACAAGCCTAGTGTTCATGAGGACTGCCATTGCTGGGCACTCCTCATAAACTGTCTTCCGCCGTCCAACGTACATATCACCTCTCTCAAATCACCTCTGAGGAAAGAAAATTTTTTAGTATGAAGGAAACTATATATGTTTCTGTGAGATCACAGCCTTCCAAGAGGTAACACAGAAAATGGGATCAGATGTGTTTACTAGTTGTGTGTTTACTAGTTGTGTTTTTGCGGGGGTTGAGCTTTGCTCTTTCGACCCGCATCTCAACTGTCAATCAACTGTTTACTAACTACTTTTTTTTTGTTTTTTTTTCCACACCACACACACACACCCCAGGAAGCAGCCCGTGACAGCTGACTAACTCCCAGGTACCTATTTACTGCTAGGTAACAGGGGCACTTAGGGTGAAAGAAACTTTGCCCATTTGTTTCTGCCTCGTGCGGGAATCGAACCCGCGCCACAGAATTACGAGTCCTGCGCGCTATCCACCAGGCTACGAGGCCCCTGTGTGGTCGACAGATGGTGTTAACATCCTCACAGTCTTTCCATGTTAAATAATTTCCATAGTATTAATTTCAATTTTATTTAATACTAGCTGTACCTTGCCATGCGTTGCTGTGGCTCAGCAACGCATGTGCGTTGTTGAGCCACAGCATCTTCCTCTGTCTCCAAGTCCTCCCCACCATTCCCCCTCCCCCATCCCCCCGTTCACCCAACCATTCCCCACTTCCCCATCCTCTCATCCTCCCTGCCATTCCCCCTTCCTCCCCTGTCCCTTTGTCCTCCCACCATCTTACACTCCTCTGTCCCCTCGTAATCCTAACCATTCCCCACTCCCCCGTCCCCTCGTCCTCCCTACCATTCCCCCCTCCCCCGTCCCCTTATCCTCCCTACCATCCCCCACTACCCTGTTCCCTTGTCCTCCCCAGCATTCTCCATTCCCATTTCCCCCTCGTCCCCACCATCCACAACTCCCCCGTTTTTTCCATTATTAACCCCCTTCCTTGTTGCATCGTCCTCCCCACCATCCTCCACTTCCGTCCCCTGATCCTTTCCACCATTCCCCACTCCTTTGTCTGATGCATTTCCAAATAATCTGATGTTCCCATCACTGAAATTTTTAGAAAAACAGTGAAAAAACGAAATAAAAACAATGAAAAAATAAAAAAAAAAACCTATACCCACGAACTGAACAGTATGGTAAACAACACAGCTGAAATCCAATGCAATGTCACACAAAATAATTAAATCAAAATGAAAATAAATCGAAATCTATGAAAATTCAATTTGTCATTACCATTGAAAATGTTGAAATGAAATTGTAACATATTTAGTATAGCATGTGTTGCTCTTACGTGCAACAGATGTTACTATTTCTCAAAAAAAAGAATGTTTTTACCTGTTACTGGTGTGGAATCTATACATATACTTACGAAATGAACTGTATGGTAAACAACACAGCTTAATTCCAACGCAATGTCGCACAAAATAATTAAATCAATATTAAAATAAATTGAAATCTATGAAATTTCAAATTTTCAATGCAATCAGAAACATGGAAATGGAATAGTTACATATTTAGTATAGCATGTTTTCTCTTACGTGCAACAGATGGCACTGTTTTTTTTTAGCTTTTTTACTTGTCACAGGTGTGGCACCTATAAAGTAGGTATATAAAAACATGCACGTGTATGAATGGAACCTTGTGTCAAAATTTCAAAGCAATCAGTGAAGAACTTTCGGTGATTACAGCATGTGTTGCTTTTACGTCCAACAGATGGTGCTGTTATTAAAAAAAAAAATCTGTCACAGGTGAGGCATGTATTTAGGAAGTTTTTAAAAACACGCGCCTATTGAAATGCAACGTTATATCAAAATTTGAAAGCAATCGGTAAAGAATTTTCGAAGATTTTCCTCACAATAAAAACACATGAAAAATCACATTTAAAAAAATGCATGTTTTTTCTTGTCACAGACGTGACATCTATATAGTATGTATATAAAAACCCGCTTGGATGCAAATGCAACGTTGTCTTAAAATTTCATAGCAATCGGTGAAGAACTATCGGAGATTAGCGATTTTGAGCAAACGAACATTTACATTTTTATTTATATTCTAGCACTACCCGGCCATGCATTAGTGTAACTCAGCAACGCATTTGTATTGCTGAGCCACAGCAACCTTCCCTGTCCCCCAGTCCTCCACATCATTCCCCCCTCACCCGTCTTCTCGGCCTCCCAACCATTCCCTTCTCCACCGTCCCCCTCGTCCACCCCACCATTCCCCACTCCTTCATCCTTTCTTCCTTCCCACCATGCCCCACTCCCCTGTCCTTTTGACCTCCCCACCATTCTCCATTCCCCCATCGCCTCGTCCCCACCATGCCAAACTTCCCCATACCCTCGATCTTCCCCACCATTACCCCGTCCCTTGTCCCCTCGTCATCCCAATCATTCCCCACTCTCTCGTCCAATGCCTTCCTACATGGTCTAATGTTTCCATCAGAAAATTGGGAACAACACGTCATCTGATGTTCCCATCACTGAAATATAAGAAAAACAGTTAAAATATGAAATGAAAATATGAAAAAATAAAAAAAATAAACTATACTCACGAAATGAATGATATGGTAAACAACACAGCTCAATTCCAACGCAATTCACACAAAATAATTGAATAAAAATGAAAATAAATAAAAATCTATGAAAATTCAATTTATCAATGCAATCAGAAACATTGAAATGGAATTTTAACATATTTTTGTATAGCATGTGTGTTGCTCTTACATGCAACAGATTGCGCTGTTTTTCATGAAAAGCATAGTTTTACCTGTCACAGGTGTGGCATCTATACTTATACTCTCGAAATGAACAGTATGGTAAACAACACAGCTCAATTGCTACGCATTGTCACAGAAAATAATTCAATATAAAATAAAATAAATAGAAATCTATGAAAATAAAATTGATCAATGCAATTGGAAACATTGAAATGGAACTCGTGACACATTTAGTCTAGCGTGCATGTTGCTATTATGTGCAACACATGGCGCTGTTTTTCAAAAACGCATGTTTTTACCTTTTCCCTGGTTGTGGCATCTATATAGTAGTTATATAAAAAAACGTGCCTATTCGAATGCAACGTTGTGTCAAAATTGCAAAGCAATCGGTGAAGATATTTCGGAGATTACAGCGTTGCTCTAACGTCCAACAGATGGCACTGTTTTTCAAAAAAACATGTTTTTTTTCCTGTCACAGGTGGGGCATGTATATAGTAGATTTATAAAAAGATGCCCCTATTCGAATGCAACGTTGTGTCAAAATTTCAAAGCAATCGGTAAAGAGGTTTCGAAGATACGCATGTATACCATTCTTTCAATATAAGTTTTCCGAGTTATCAATGAATTATATTGCATTTAACTAGCAATATTTATCTAATCAGGAATTGACTCCATGTGACCTGAACAGCCACTCATTTCCAATTTTTCCTTTTTAGCAGAAAGCACATCTGTTCCAAGTCCCTCCATTGCTCTTCACTAATTCGATGGCTGTCTTTATCCTCTGTAAAAGTGTATCACTTCTAACTCTTCCTACTTCATTTCCTCCCGCATTAATACAAATAACAGGATTACTCCCACTTCCAGCCATATCACTCATATTGTTAATAATATTTCATTTTCCCACTCCTGCATAGCAAACCCTAAACACGTTTTCCCGATTTCTAGCCCCAAATGACTTGCCTAAATATCTAACCTGTGAATTACCTACAACCAATATTTCTTCATTTACTGGCGCTCTCTTCTTCGTCTGACGATTATGGCCAACTTGAGCCTCCCGACATGCTCATCTTCCAAGGCGGCGAATGAATTAAACGTTATCACGAGAGCTGTAGACAGCCTTGTCAGGATCTTTTCAAGTCCCTCCGAGTCTTTTCCTTGACCCTCCGAGACGAGAACTGGTTCTTTGCCGGGTTACTTTCATGGTTCTAAGACTAACTATCTGCATCTAAAGTGGCTCTAAGTGGTTCTTTAGTGACTAATTTTTATCTAAGGATAATCACCTGTATGGTTCGCTTGGTTTGCTTAGTGAGCTCACTAGGATGGTTTTTAGTCAGCTCATTAGGATGGACCTTAGTCGGCTCACTAGGATGGTTCTTAGTCGGGTCACTAGGATGGTTCTGAGTCACCTCACTAGGATGGTTCTTAGTCGCCTCACTAGGATGGTTCTTAGTCGCCTCACTAGGATGGTTCTTAGTCGCCTCACTAGGATGGTTCTTAGTCACTTCACTTGGTTTGCTTAGCCACCTCACTAGGATGGTTCTTAGTCGCCTCACTAGGATGGTTCTTAGTCGGGTCACTAGGATGGTTCTGAGTCACCTCACTAGGATGGTTCTTAGTCGCCTCACTAGGATGGTTCTTAGTCGCCTCACTAGGATGGTTCTTAGTCGCCTCACTAGGATGGTTCTTAGTCGCCTCACTAGGATGGTTCTTAGTCGGCTCAATAGGATGGTTCTTAGTCACCTCACTTGGTTTGTTTAGTCGCCTCACTAAGATGGTTCGTAGTCGGCTCACTAGGATGGTTCTTAGTCGCCTCACTAGGATGGTTCTTAGTCGGCTCACTAGGATGGTTCTTATTCGCCTCACTAGGATGTTTACTTACTAATAAGGTTTCAGTGCGACTCATATGATTCTGAGGCGCTTAATTATATAATCACCGGAATGAACTCAGGATGTTGCATATTGATGCTCGAAAGCTATTATTTTTTTAATTAAAATTAAAAAAATGTTTTAAATTTTTGTTATTTTATAAAATGTTGAAAGCAACAGTCAAATGAAAATTAATTCGTGAAAATCTCATAACTCTGAAGCAGGTATTAACTCACTTTACAATCTAAATTTAATAAATGTGTGCTGCTAATTATCAGTCTACAGATGTGGGTTTTGTTAAGACGCACCTTTTATGACAATGAAAAGGTTGGTGGAGATGTCTGGACTGTGGCGGCTGCCGGAGACGGTGGTGGTAGCCATAGGTGGGAGGGCGGGAGCCAGGGCCGTGCTCCTCCACCACAGTCTCCGCAACACTGTCCACGCCCTCTACCTGGCCCTCGACCACGCCCTCTACCTGGCCCTCGACCACCCCTCCCTCCACCTGGCCCTCGACCACGCCCTCTACCTGGCCCTCGACCACGCCCCCATCCACCTGGCCCTCAACCACTCCTGTCCACCGCACCTTGGAAAGCTTCTTACACAGAAAGGTCAGTACATATGTGTAAGTGTGTTCTCACCCGTTCCTTTCGCGACCACAGATCACATTCACTCGAAACATCTGCCACTAACTCGTTACTCTTGCCATGGCACCTCTGGGGGGCTTAATCTTCAATGGAACATCTTACCTGTTTGTGCCAGTGAAAGTTGAGCTGCTGTTTCCGGTCACGTTTGTCATGCATTGTTAATTACCTAAGTATAGTTACTGGATGAGAGCTACGCTGGTAGTGTCCAGTCTTCCCAGTACTCATTGTCGTATACAGCTTTGAAACTACTACACCTGGTGCACAGCTTTACTTGCTCTCAACTACACTGGGCTCCATCTGGTGTACTGTTAACACTTTACACGTGTTAACAGTACACCAGATGGAGGTGTACTGTTAACACGTGTTAACAGTACACCTCTTCCTCCTGGGGAAGGAGGCCTGGTCGACGACCGGGCCGCGGGGACACTAAGTCCCGAAAATACCTCAAGGTAACACCACCTCTAGGTAACCACCTGTCACCGCACACCGCGACGTCGTTAGCCCTCTTCACACCCTGCTCACCTCTGCCTAAAATATTTTAATCATTTTTACCATAAAATGCGACCCGTTTGAACTAAATTATATGGTTATATCTCTTTTTTGCATCATAATGTTTACAAATGAGTGCTAACGAGTATATGTGCATTATTAATGTCGGAAATTTCCAACACTATTCACTGCCTTTTAACATAATATGGCAAATAATTTTGTTTTTGTTTTTGTGTTAAATAAACTTTTAACGAATGGAGGGGGGTTAAATAACCTTTAACGATATATATATATATATATATATATATATATATATATATATATATATATATATATATATATATATATATATGTCGTACCTAGTAGCCAGAACGCACTTCTCAGCCTACTATGCAAGGCCCGATTTGCCTAATAAGCCAAGTTTTCATGAATTAATTGTTTTTCGATTACCTAACCTACCTAACCTAACCTAACATAGCTTTTTCGGCTACCTAACCTAACCTAACCCATAAAGATAGGTTAGGTTAGGTTAGGTAGGGTTGGTTAGGTTCGGTCATATATCTACGTTAATTTTAACTCCAATAAAAAAAAATTGACCTCATACATAATCAAATGGGTAGCTTTATCATTTCATAAGAAAAAAAATTGAGAAAATATAATAATTCAGGAAAACTTGGCCTATTAGGCAAATCGGGCCCTGAATTGTAGGCTGAGAAGTGCGTTCTGGCTACTAGGTACGACATATATATATATATATATATATATATATATATATATATATATATATATGTCGTACCTAATAGCCAGAACGCACTTCTCAGCCTACTATGCAAGGCCAAATTTGCCTAATAAGCCAAGTTTTCCTGAATTAATATATTTTCTCTATTTTTTTTTCTTAAGAAATGATAAAGCTACCCGTTTCATTATGTATGAGGTCAATTTTTTTTATTGGAGTTAAAATTAACGTAGATATATGACCGAACCTAACCAACCCTACCTAACCTAACCTAACCTATCTCTATAGGTTAGGTTAGGTTAGGTAGCCGAAAAAGTTAGGTTAGGTTAGGTTAGGTAGGTTAGGTAGTCGAAAAACAATTAATTCATGAAAACTTGGCTTATTAGGCAAATTTGGCCTTGCATAGTAGGCTGAGAAGTGCGTTCTGGCTATTAGGTACGACATATATATATATATATATATATATATATATATATATATATATATATATATATATATATATATATATATATATATATATATATATATATATATATATATGTATATGTATATATATATGTATATATATATATATATATATATATATATATATATATATATATATATAATATATATATATATATATATATATATATATATATATATATATATATATATATATATATATATATATATATATATATATATATATAATTAAATATGACCGAAAAAGTAAGATTAATAATTCTAACACGAATTTTCTAAATCTTTCGTACATTTCTTTTCACTGCTAGTGGTAATTCAAAAATCAATTCTCCAAAATTCATTTTTATTTCTAGTCTGACGCGACACTTGAGCGCTTTTCGTAAAACTTATTACATTTTCAAAGACCTTAGTTTACACATACCCAACTGAATAGAACTTACACATCTCCGATTTGTTTATATCTACATTTGAGTGAGGTGGATGGGGTGAGGTGGTATTAATAGGGTATTAAATTCATCAACACAAGACAGAACACGAAACAATGGGTATTGAATGGAAGTGATTGTAGAAAGCCTATTGGTCCATATTTTTTGATGCTTCTATATTGGAGCGGAGTCTTGAGGTGGGTAGAATATAGTTGTGCATTAATTGGCTGTTGATTGCTGGGGTTGACGTCTTAATGTGTAGTGCCTCGCAAACGTCAAGCCGTCTGCTATCGCTGTATCTATCGATGATTTCTGTGTTGTTTACTAGGATTTCTCTGGCGATGGTTTGGTTGTGGGAAGAGATTATATGTTCCTTAATGGAGCCCTGTTGCTTATGCATCGTTAAACGCCTAGAAAGAGATGTTGTTGTCTTGCCTATATACTGCGTTTTTTGGAGCTTACAGTCCCCAAGAGGGCATTTGAAGGCATAGACGACGTTGGTCTCTTTTAAAGCGTTTTGCTTTGTGTCTGGAGAGTTTCTCATGAGTAGGCTGGCCGTTTTTCTGGTTTTATACTAAATCGTCAGTTGTATCCTCTGATTTTTGTCTGTAGGGATAACGTTTCTGTTAACAATATCTTTCAGGACCCTTTCCTCCGTTTTATGAGCTGTGGAATAGAAGTTCCTGTAAAATAGTCAAATAGGGTTATCTTGAGGTTATCTTGAGATGATTTCGGGGCTTTTTAGTGTCCCCGCGGCCCGGTCCTCGACCAGGCCTCCACCCCCAGGAAGCAGTCCATGACAGCTGACTAACACCCAGGTACCTATTTTACTGCTAGGTAACATATACTGCAGGTATGTTGACGACATTTTTACACAGGTACCTGATGTCAGACATCTGCAGGAGCTGAAGCAGGCATTTGAGCAGTTCCGTGCTGCGTTTCACTTACGAGATGGAAAAGGATGGGAAGCTGCCCTTTCTAGATGTAACAGTCATGGAAGAGAGCGGAGGTTTCCACACTGCAGTCTACACTAAGGAAACGAACAAGGGGGTATAGGTGTTGTGTTAGTTGTCTCTTCAGAGGTTGCATGGCGTTTCACTTTCCTTCTTATGATGACTTCGACGAAACAATTGGAGAAGCCGTTGTTGACTAGGACCTGCCTTACCCTACAGAGTTCTTCGTTGACTTGCTTCCATTCTGAGCTGTGGCTGAGAGCACGGTCGACATATGTGTTAACAACACTCCTCTTGTACCTGTCTGGGCAGTCGCTGTTGGCATTTAGGCACATTCCTATGTTCGTTTCCTTAGTGTAGACTGCAGTGTGGAAACCTCCGCTCTTTTCCATGACTGTTACATCTAGAAAGGGCAGCTTCCCATCCTTTTCCATCTCGTAAGTGAAACGCAGCACGGAACTGCTCAAATGCCTGCTTCAGCTCCTGCAGATGTCTGACATCAGGTACCTGTGTAAAAATGTCGTCAACATACCTGCAGTATATGGCCGGTTTCAAGTTCATGTCGACTAAGACTTTTTGCTCGATGGTACCCATGTAGAAGTTTGCAAACAGGACACCTAGGGGAGAACCCATGGCGACCCCATCTACTTGCTTATACATGTGCCCATCCGGGCTCAAGAAGGGTGCCTCTTTAGTACAAGCTTGGAGTAGTTTCCTTAGAATATTTTCTGGTATGTCAAGAGGAGTACAGGCTGGATCATGATGCACTCTGTCGGCTATCATCCCGATTGTCTCGTCCACAGGTACGTTGGTGAACAGTGATTCTACGTCCAACGAGGCTCTTATCCCTGTGGCCCGTGTGCCCCGCAGTAAGTCAAATAACCAGAAAACATTTTATACCAGTATATATACCAGTATATATTTATACCAGTGTATATACCAGTATATATTGGTATATACATATATATATATATATATATATATATCTATATATATATATATATATATATATATATTAGTATATTTTGGTAGCAGTCTTTCCTGTAGACATATATTATTAAATATGACCGAAAAAGTAAGATTAATAATTCTAACACGAATTTTCTCAATCTTTCGTACATTACGCTTCACTGTTGGAGGTAAATCAAAAATCAATTCTCCAAAATTCATTTTTTATTTCTAGTCTGACGCGACACGAGCGCGTTTCGTAAAACTTATTACATTTTCAAAGACTTTAGTTCACAAATACACAACTGAATAGAACTTACGCATCTCCGATTTTATATCTACATTTGAGTGAGGTGGAAGGGGTGATGTGGCATTAACGCAAGACAGAACAAAATGTGGTATTAATAGGGTATTAATTTCATCAACACAAGACAGAACAAGAGTATTAATAGGGTATTAATTTCATCAACACAAGACAGAACACGAAACAATGGATATTGAATAGAAGTGTTTGTAGAAAGCCTATTGGTCCATATTTCTTGATGCTTCTATATTGGAGCGGAGTCTTGAGGTGGGTAGAATATAGTTGTGCAATAATTGGCTGTTGATTGCTGGTGTTGACTTCTTGATGTGTAGTGCCTCGCAAACGTCAAGCCGCCTGCTATCGCTGTATCTATCGATGATTTCTGTGTTGTTTACTAGGATTTCTCTGGCGATGGTTTGGTTGTGGGAAGAGATTATATGTTCCTTAATGGAGCCCTGTTGCTTATGCATCGTTAAACGCCTAGAAAGAGATGTTGTTGTCTTGCCTATATACTGGGTTTTTTGGAGCTTACAGTCCCCAAGTGGGCATTTGAAGGCATAGACGACGTTAGTCTCTTTTAAAGCGTTCTGTTTTGTGTCTGGAGAGTTTCTCATGAGTAGGCTGGCCGTTTTTCTGGTTTTATA